TGACAATGACAATGACAATGACAATGACAATGACAATGACAATGAGAATGAGAATGACAATGACAATGACAATGACAATGTGCTAATCGTGCTAGCTGATAGCCAATATCCTTGCTCGCTCTATACTTACCCTCCAAGCTAGCTACGTCAATCATCAGTCTTCATCAATATCATCATTATTGCTCTGTTTTATAGGCCTCTATACGCCCCTCTTCAAAAAGATTTCGTACTCCAATTCACAATTCAAATGCCTTTGGTTAGTGTATAAATGGAAAGTTGTTTTTTTTTTTTTTTGCCCGAGCTCAAAGGCCGCCGCATGACCAGGCCCCAGAGTCAGCTTGTGTGCGAGTGTGTGTATGTGCGTGTATTTGGGTGTATGTGCAATTCCTGTTGAAATTTCTCCATTACTTTTGCAGTTCAATGTTTTACTTTTACGCTCCTTACCGGCTGCTACACGTCTCACGGCGACCGCCTCCCCCTGCTCGTTGCAAGGCGAAATTCACTCGAGGTTCATTTGATTTTGCCCGAAAAACTTTGGTGGCCACAAAAGTTTTTGGCGCTCGGTTCTTTGGCAAAGCGCGCGACGACGTCGGCAATGTTCAATGCATTTGATTTTCAGCAAAAGTTTTTTGGCCTTTAAGAATGGCGAATTGAATGGGAATGTGCGAGAGTGGGTGTTTGTATGAGTGTGTGTGTGTATGTGTGTGTGTGCCTGCGTGCTTGAGTGCAACATGTTTGCTGGCGAAATGAACGGCGGCGCGTTGAATAAAATGTTGACAGAAAGCAAACTGCAAAACTGCCAAGTGCCAAGGCTTACAAAGAATGCTGAAATATAATTGGCGTACAGCTGAAAAATGCCTCAGCTATAAGTATAAATGTGTGTGTGTGTGTGAGTGTGTCGGTGTGTTGTGCCAACAATGGCGTCCAATTATAGCGCAAGACGTGCCACAATGGCCAACGATTTGATGTAACTTCAAGTGCTGCTAACTGATTGGCGTGGACCAAAAGAAAACAAAATTTGTTTCGCCCTTATCGAAGCCCAACTAAGTTGAAAGGTTGAAAAATAAAACAAATTTGATTTATTTTTTTTTTTAGTTATTATTTAAATTACATTTATTTTCTCATGATAATCACTTGTGTGTGTTTCGAATGCATTTCATATGTTCCTGCACTCAATATATGGCTATTTTTTGTTTTAAAGTTTAAATTTTTCTGTTTTTTTTTTGTTTATTTTTAAATTCATATTCATCAAAGTTTAAATTTTACATAAATGCGCGCTGAGCGCATTTTACATTGAAAACTTTTTAAATGACTTTTTCGCATTATTTTCATTTATTTTTGTTCATAATATTTTACTCTTTGTTCATTTTCATTTATTGAATACAGTACATACTTACATATATTAATTTCATTTTGTTTCTTTACTTTTTTTTTGCATGCTTCTTCCATTAATTAGTTAATGGCTATTAGCGGCCATAGACCAATATGCTTTAATTAAAATATTTACAGTAAAAAATGCTTAACAATTGGAATCCAAACAATATTCATATTATATTATTCATTGTTTCATTTATAAATGTATGTATATTAATAATAATATATTATTATAAATTTCCTTTTATCAAATATAAATCAGAATGTGATTGCTGGCTTCTCGGAATACGGGAGCAATGGGGCGGGGGAGGCACACACAAATACAAATGCAAATGCAAATACAAATACATACACACACATATTGAGACAGTTAACAGTTATTTTCATTCGGCTTTGTTCTCTTCATCTATTTGTTATTACTCATATTATGTTTGTTAATTTACGCGTCTTTTTCACACTAATGAATCTATTTAAAGTTTCATGAAATTCTTTAACAGTTGCTTTGTTTTTCTTCATTTCTATGTTTATTTGAGTAATGTACGTTTTTGTTATGGTTTATATATGGCAATGAATGTATTCGTAATTTAATTTTTTTTCCATTTTTTTCTGGTGTTGTTTCTCCATTTTTTATGAAATATGCTTTGTGTATACCTGTGCAGGCTGGCAAAAGTGGAGTATATTGGTTTTGCGGACTGTACTAGAGTGTATCTTTTGAGTACATACTGTTTACCGTTGCCTTACTGGCAGTGCATCGCGAAGCTACAATGGTTCCTTTGGTTGGCTCTTTCAGAAGGAATTACTCATGTATATAGATATACACAGCAAGAATTTCAGATTGAAGCAAGTATTTCCTGACTTCCACTGACCTTTAGTTGAAATACTTGGACTTGGCAAGTACCTATCTATCGAGTCTCTCTGCAGATAAATATAATATTCCACAAATGTCAGCCCAAGTATATCTTTCACGGTTTGACACTAAAGAACTCTATTTGATCAAAATTAAACTCCCTTTGCAGCATGAACAAGTATTGTGCAGTCGTTTACACTCGCCGACAGCCATGTTTTTAATATCTCGTTAAATTTCATTTAATTGTACAACACACAAATATGTTTTTTTTTTCTTCTTCTATATATATTTAATGAGTTCTATTTTTTTGTCTCTTCTATTTCTAAATGCGCGAGCAAAAAAAAAACAGTCGAGAGAATTGTACATATTTGATTACGTAGATGTTGTTTTTAATCTTCAGGTGTTTTGTTTAATTAGGCGTTTTATATGTTGTTTTTTTTTTCTTTTATTTACTTTTTTTTTTTATTTTTAGTTTTATTTTTTGTTGTTGAGAAAGCGTAGAAAGTAATTATGAAATGTTGCATGCTCTATGCTAGTTGCTTTTACTATGGCTAACAATTTCGCTTAGCTGATTTCTCTGATTTTGTTTGTTTGTTCTTTAACTCTTAGTTTTCCTTTCATGAATTTTCTAAGTTCTCTTCTATTTGTAGTTTTCAAGCAGCAACATCTAAAGTAAGCCTCCTTTGTTTGTATTCATCTCTTTGTGTTTTTTTCATGGCTGATTGCTGTCACTTATGCTATATATATACTAAATATATATATATGTATATGTGTTCGGGTGTGTGTGTGTATATATAGTTTCGAGTTATAGCTAATTCTCCAACTGTCTGGCAATCGATTTTTCCACTCTTCCATTTTGCTGCTTTTATCTGGCCTTTGCTTCTTCCGCCCTATATAGTTTTACAACAATTTAATTTATATTTATTTGTTGTTTATTTATTTATTCATTCAGTCATTTTTGTGTGTGTTGGTTGTTGTTGCTGTTGTCATTTGTTAGCTGTATTTACACTTGAAATTAAATATATGCATACATATTTATATTATTTGCTCTGTCGTGTTGTGTTTGCCATTTGCCATTTGCAATGCAATTTATTTTATTTACAAACTTAATAATGCAATTAATTATAATTCTTTTTCTTTTTTATATTTATTTGTTTTTATTATTATTATTTTTTGTGTTAATCTCTATGTTTTGGGTTTCCATTTAGTAATTAGTAACAGTAATAATAATAACGCTTTGGTATGCCTGTGTTTTTTTTTTGTTTCGTTTGTAATATAATTTTTATGGACTGAAATTGGCTACTTATGCAAAATGTTTTTCTCTTTTTTTTTTCTATGTCAATATGTATTTTGCATAGATATATATAGTTTTATATGTATGTGTGTATAAATCTAAAAGTGTGATCCATGCTGTTTACAACTGCTGAGGACCAAAAAAGAAAAATTAATGAACTTAGTGTGTGCTAGTCGAGCATGACCGACTAGATAATACCCTGAACACTAGTTGGAGTTGCGCTTTGAGGCATTCGGGACATTCCCATATGCATAGATGGAGAGAGATATATGCCAAGACAATTCATACAGCTTGTTTTTATATCAGATAGATTATAGAGGACAAATTTGAATGAGAATGGGTAAAGCTATTATTGAGAAGAAGATTTTATGATTATATTACATGTCCATATGCTTTCAGCTTATGTAAAAATTTCCTAGATTTTTTAACAGACCGATAGATAAGCTTGTCCTGGTTTCACTTAGATTTTAATCCCTTTTATATATGCCAGTTCACTAGAAACTCCCTCTTATGCTCTTTCCATGTGTTCAGAGTATGCCCTAAAAAGCTTGAATCAAATTGCAATTAGCCCATTGCAATTGCTTTCAACCCACAATAAAAAATTAAAAAAAAAAGTCAATCAAAGTCAAATAAAAGTTTATAAACTGAACAGAATTTGTTGGAAAAGTTTAACAATTACTTTAACTAATGCATTTTACATGACGCACAGACATAGATATATAAATATTTAAGTATTATATATATATATTTGTAAGTTAGTGCTTAATCAAACTGGTTAAACATACTGTACACAATTAATACGAAAAATGATTTTTATTTATTTATTTTTTTTTATTTCTTTGTAAGTTTAACTTAACTTGTAAATGCCTAGCAGAGACAGAGATAGATTTATAACATGATTTTTACACAGATTTTGGTTTTCTTTAGATGGAACTTAGCTTAAATTTTACGCTAGATTTTGTTTTACTTTTGGTTTTTTTTTTTTGTATTTATATGTATTGTTTTTTGTTTTTGTTTAAATTCTAACATTGAAATAGCTTAAATAGGATTCTGTACTATATATATGTATATATATATCATATATATATTTAATATTTTGTTTTTTATATTTTATTTTTAATATTCTTTCAATTTTGGTTGCTTAGGTTAAGAAAATGCGTCTGCAGCAGCAATTTAAGAAGACAAGGAAAACAAAAACAATATTTATATGCAGCAGGAGTTGGGGCCTGGGCGTACTTACCTAACGACAACCGTGTTTAGCAGCAGACAGGGCGCCAGCATTGACCTAAATATGTGCGTAATGCGATCGGCCGAGGAAGTTTTACGCCTCGATATGGCAGCCATATTGTCGCCTGAGCCAAGTGAGAGCAAAAGAGAGAGAGAGAGAGAGAGAGAGAGAAATGTGAATTAGATTTGACTCCTTGTTGCTGTTGTTGTATATGGCAATAACTGGCGACAGATACTCTGCATTTTCATTAACATTTTAATAAGCTGCAGGCAAGGCGCGCTCGCTCGCTCGCTCGCTGCAAGCATTTGCATATTTTCATTTACACTTCTTATCGCTCGCGATGGCTATTTAAATGCTAAAATCACAAGAAATTCAATTTGGCCGCGAGGCAGTCATGCAAATTGCATGCAACTGTTACGTGCGACAGCAACAACAACAACAACAATAACAGGCAAAGCCACCAGCTCTGCCCCACACTCTCCTTAACAATTTGCACGCTAAGCAGCTGCCCTGAGCTGAGCTGCATTAGCAGCAGAAATGGCAACGGCAACGGCAACGGCAATGGCAGCTGTAGCTGCTGCAACAGCTGCTAAATCCCCGCTCAGATTTCATGATTTCACGATTTCACTCACCTTTTGATACAAAGACATAAATGCTAGCTGGCTCGGTGTTGCTGGCAGAGCAGGTGTAGTTGCCAGAATCGGTGATTTGGGGCTCCCGTATTATGAGGCGACTCTGTGTGCGTGGACCCGGTGTCGTTTCAATGGATATGTCTCGCCTCGAGTCATAGTAGTTGATGAGACGATCATTTTTTTGCCAGTACACGTACTGCGGTGGTGTGGGACTCTGAAGAGGAGTAGACGATAGAGAGTGGAAGAAGGAAGACGAGAATTATGTATAAAATGTATAAGTATTGTAATATATGCTGGACTACAGAAAAATATCATAGGAAAACTATCGATTATCACTTCAATATATGCATTTCATTGAATCGATATTTATCGATAGTCAATAATATCATATATTTAGTTCTGCTAGATATTATTCGAAGTGAAATAGATTTGATATATGTTTCTTAACTATTTTGCGGCATTTGCTTGTTTGTATGACAAGTTTCCGATACAAAAATCGACTTATCGATAACATTTTTAGTTGTTATTCTTCTTTTTGTGTTACCTAACTATTAAGATTATTTATATTTCTATATAGAGAACCTTCATTTCGTTCAATATTATTTTAGTTCTGCAAATTAGCTAATTTGACTTTTCGGTATTTCCCCTTCTACATATATACGTAATAAATTTGTACTCACCTTCTCGATAATGCAAACCAAATTGATTGTTGAGCCCATGTCAACATGCAGTTCACCAGAGCCAAGTATGAATGCCTCGGGCACAACCACTTGAAGATTCACAAAGTGCGAGATGATGCCAGTCGGTGTGGATACCTATGCCCAAAAATAAATACACAATTGATAGAGTCAAGCAAATAATGCCAGGATATTTGGGTGAAATTGTTCGATACGCATGTTCCGATGCTTAAGCATTTGTCGTAATCAACTCGAATGTTAATGCTGTGCTGCATCTAACAGACTCTCTGTACCTTGACTTCCCTCCCTCCCTCTCTCTTTTTTTCACTATATCAATATCTGTCGATCTAACTGGCTTTGGTGCAGTGAAACGTTTTGACTGCAAAGAAATGTTGCACTCATTGAAATGCAAATCAAACAATTTCAATTTGGCACGCAAAATGAAACAAAAACGTACCATTTTCTATACATATACATACATACATATATAGATATGTATGTCTGCTTGTATATAAGTATATGTGCAAGTGGAAAAGCGCTACATACGAACAAAAGTAACCAGAGGGCAGATGAACGAGCTGCACTGCAAAAAGGAAAAATAATCATTTCGGCATATTTGCATGCAGTGCTCGTCGAGAGGCAGCACCAACTGACAGACGGACAGACGGCTACGCTGTTACCCTTGCTGCGCTAGCCTCGGCTCTTATATTGAAATTGCATGCAAACAATTTTTGAAATTGAAGCTACGCTTTTATTTTTTGCGAAGCTGCCCCAACAACATCAGTATCTCGCTCTCTCTGTCCCTCCTTGACTATCTGCAAGCTCTCTTGGCTGGTCTCTACTTAGCCGTAAGTCTCGGCGCAGCACTTGTGCGGCTGCTGCACAAACAGAGTTACTGTCAAGTGTCCGTTTCAGGCGTTGCCCAAACTTTGTTGCCTTTCGCCTAGTTCAGTCTACCGACTCGACTCGACTCCGCCATCTGTAGCCAGGACACGCCTCTTGCCATATCCGCTTGACTTTCGGGCTTTTGTATGGCTGGCTTACTCTCTGCATTACTTTGCACACATTCGCCGGGACGGGGGAGGGGGTGGGGAGCTTGCGTTTCAGTCACTGGCTAAATATGTCAATGTCCAGTTTATCTGGCAGCCGCAGCGTCTGGCAGCGCTTGACAGCCACATGGTTTCGGCTGTGCCCGACGTCAACGTCACATGTGCTCTGCGTGCCATGCGTACATGCAGCAGGTTGTCTTGAAATGAAACGCCATTTGCATATTACAATTAAATCATGCGCCGACGAAATCAACGTAAAAACCAAACAACAAAATGAAAAAATTGAAACAGAAATGGGTTAAAAAAACCCAAAAACCTCAATATTGCGTATACGCCGGGCTGTCTGGGTCCGTATGCCAAAATGGAGCATATGCAAATGCACTTTAGTTCATTTCAACTGCATTGCATGCATAAAATATATGCAATTCCAATGCATGCTCTCTCTCATTCACTCTCTCTCTCTCTCTCTCTCTCTCTCTCTCTTTCACACTCACCTGGCACTCGTACATTCCGTGATCCCGTCGCTGCACAAACTTTATCTGCAGCGTCCACATGTTGGAGCCGGGCGAGTGGAGTATCGCAAAGCGTTCATCATTTGTGTAGAGCTGGGCGCCCGAGGATAATATGTGCCAGTCCCGGCGACGTATCCAAGATATTTGATTCTGTTTTGCCCAACAACAGCAACAGCAAAATGTGAGAAAATTAAATGCAAAATTCAATAAAGAACGCAATCACAATCGCACATCGCATTATAGTCAATGTTAATTGCAAGCGCGCTCGAAAGTAGGCAACAGAAAACGTAAAACTTTCAATTCACTCGCAATACAAATGCATGCAATTAGTGCGGCGAATACATATAAGTATATGCATTTGATTATGGAAAGCACTTTAAAATGGTAGTGTTAAGAGGTGTATGCAGAGATGTGGGTATTTTATATGTATATGTGAGCGTGTGTGTGTGTGTGGATTGCAATTTTGGTGGAATGTTTAGCAAATGCAAGTTTAACAACAGGTTGAGTTGAAATGAGTTGAAATGAATGAGTTGAAATGAAAGCTTAAATATTTTAAAAATTTATAAATATAAGAGTGTATGTATAATATGTAAGGAATTACGTTTAAAGGCAAGCAGAATATGTAATTAAAAAAGGCAGCAAAAAACATGTTCTTGATAAGCATAAAAAAATATACTAAAAGCCAATAAGAGTACTCTAGACAAATATTAAAGCCCTGTTGGAGAAGGTCTATTCATGGGGAGAGCTACTGTAGAGACTCTCTATTCCTCACTCTCTACTAGGAAGGAAGGAAGTTGATAAATTAATGCTTCTAAGGAAGCGTTCTGTGAGCTTTAGCTAAGATGTGCTATAACATATGAAGTCTGTTAACTTACAAGAAAACTATCGCTGATATGAAAAAAAAAAATAAATAAACAGTTACATCATATATCTTTGAAAAGCATTATTCCCAATTCTTTTATTATTTTAATTATTTATTTATTTATTTTTTTATATATTGATCTTCCATATTCAATTCTAAACTTTTAGAAGGCTTTTTATAGCTATAGAATAAAAATTCACATTTATTTTTATTTAGACTGAAATCTAAAACATGTTTGTTTTGTTTTTTCTTACAGTAAAGCCAATCAAAGTTGAGCGAATAAGATTTTTGTACGAGCTTTGATCATTATGTGCTATAAATTTGGATTTCAAACATGAAGTTGAAAGCTGCTAGATAATTGGCCTTTCGCTGTCCACTTCCTGCTAGCTGATTGGCACAAGCATGATAAGAGAAAGAAAGAAAGCTGAATAACTAAGGCAAGAGATCTGGTTGAAAAGGGATGCTTCAAGCTTTAGCCATTGCTGGATGTGATTGACAGATTGAACCAATATAATACTCTCAATGCACTGCAATTGCAGTTAACTACCAACAGCTGCTAAGAGATAGCTAAGGTAAGATTTAAGCTTTTAGTCCTGTCAATAACTATACTATGGTTTCACTCTCTGCCCAATTGCTTTGCACAGCTCTCTAAATCCTAATAAATATTCTGATAATTGTTGCATTTAGCAAGAAATTTATAAAAAATGCTTCGCAGCTCCTGCGAATGGAATTTCGCCTGACTCTGATTAATTGATATTTTGTCACATGCTTTGGCTCAATTATGGGCTCTGTGTCCATGTCTCTATGGCTGTTGGGTTCCATTGCGTGTCGTATTTTATTATTGTTGTTGTTGTTGTTTTGCTGTGTTTTTTGTTGTTGTTATTTTTTTCGGAGTAGCATTTAATTGCTTGTTAGCAAACGTTGAATGCCAAACAAAGTGTACACAATGTCATGGCAAACGGTTTCTAGCTTTCAGCTGCAAATTAAGCATTCGCATTTTATATGTTTCGTGCTCGGCTGCCAAAACAAATTGGACAATTGCGTGTCCCGATTCGACGGCGAACCGACCAAAATTCTCATATATATATATACATGCAAATAAATAGAAAAGCCCGAGCTAAATGCTATATAATTAAGAACTGAAAATTGGAAAATATGCAATATATGCAGCAAATAAAATGCAAGCGAAACTTAATGTGGAAGCTTAAAGCGGGAGGCACCTGCGCCACACAATTAGATAAAGGATAGACAAGAACAAAGCTAAACAAACCCAATTTACACCCACACGATCCACGCCGGTGACTTTGCAGACGAGAAAGGCGGTGCCACCCAGTTGGACGGTTGTATTGTGCGCCATCAGCTGTGGGTGAAAAGAAAAAAAAAAGAGAGAAACGAACAAAATGGAAAGGGAAGAGAGACGGGAGGGAATGGGGTGGTGGAGAAAAGTACAAGACAAAAAGTTAAAAGTTCATTTTTCATGTGTTACCTGTAAAGTAAAGCTAAAAGGCAAGCAAAGAATGCTATAAAATACAAAAGAGTTTGTGTGTATTCCAGGCGGGTATGCACGACTTGATGTTAGCCCTGATCACTTGTCTTACATAGACTCAATTTTTATTTAAGCATCTTCAGTTTCAGTATCTTAAATATCTTCTACTCCAGTCTGTCACATACTTTTGCTCAAGCTCATCATACCCGTTGCACAATCGCCATTGGGGTATTAAAAATACCATCAAATGCCGTCTGGCTGCACAATTAGTCAGCAGAATTTGAAACGCTAGACGGATACAGGGTGAGGCTGATGAAGCTGTTGCCCAAATTAGACGACTATAAAATTTTGAATTCGCGTTTTATTTTTATTGCTGTCACGTTCTTGTGGCTAGAACAAAAATACGTAATTTACTTGCAGCAGATCTAAGCCAAAAAAATAAAAAAAAATGAAGCATTTAAACCGGCTAGACGGGCGAGCAGACAGCTAATGATTGGGGCTGGTTTTAATTGGCTAATTTAAATTGATTTGATGAGCTTTTGCGTGGAATTGAAAGAGAATTTATTACAATGTTATTGAAAGAGCAGTTGACGTCATGAAAAGCCCAAGAAGTGTGAATTGGAATATCGAAGGGCAGAGATATGAGATCTTGAATAAACAAAGAGTTACACTAGAGATCTTCCATAGTTAAAGAGATTAAATGGAGATTCTAGATAGATCTACACTTTGGCTGGAGTAATTGAATAGCCAAAGAGTTTGACTGAAGATCTTGAACAACTAAAAAGCTTGATAGGACGCTTTAAATGGGCATACAGTTTAACTGTAGAATTTGAATAGCTAAGACTGGAGATCTTGTATAGCTAAAGACCTTGAATGGAGACTTGAAATAGTCCTAAAGCTTGACTCGATATCTTGAATAGGCAAAGAGTTTGACAGGCGAACTTTGTTAGCAGAAGATATATGCCCAATACAATCATTATTGATAATCAGAACAATCAATGTCTGCGGTCTCCATTCCTAAGCCTGCTGAGCTATGATATTAGAGATATTTAATGGAACAACTCTTAAAGCAAGTGCGAAAGTTTTAGTAGTGAGTGCTTAATATGGATATACTCTGATCTCCAATAAACTGCATATATTGTATATATGAACTTGTATATATATTCCATGAAAGAAATATGCTCAAAAAACAAACAGCTCCATGAAGCTGCATCGACTCAGCTCATCGTCCTGCTCAATAATAAATGTAGTTCCTGGGGACTGTAAAGCCTCCTGCTGCCTCTTAAATATTCTGTAACTTATCCGATTCTAATTCTCTGTAGATAGAAAGATCATAAAATATGCTAAGCTGCCGTGGGAATATTGTAGACTAGACCAGAAGCAACTGCTTGAAAATATAGATGATAGAGCCTGTAAAAAATTTGAATTCCGTAAACTTTGCAGTTCCCTTCCATATAGTTAATTGAATGATTAGAGACCCCTTCATAAGTCACGCCCAGTTAACAGTTCAATTGGCTCACCCTGTATACATATGTCTAGTTAGACATATATACATACATAGATATATGTATATGTGTACTCAAACTACTTAGTAGTGGCAGCTTGAGCAAATTTACGACTTGGCCTCTTTGGCTGATTGGATAGTTAAAGTCGGGCGCGAGTGTAGTATAAATAAGCACTAAAAGATTAATTAGAGCCGGCGCGTCTTCATGTTGTATAGTAATTAGCATTAGCCGCGCTTTTCAACTCGATTTGCATGTCCCTCGCCGGACTTGCACATTAGCATATTGATCAGGCTAACGGTGGCTGGCTGTTGGGGCTATGAGCACGTTGAGCACACTCTACCTGTACCTGTGTGTGTGCGCGATTCAATTTCGTAGACACACTTGGGTGCACTTCATCGACCATCCAGTGCTCGTGCTGTATTGAGTCAGTTTGTCAATTCTTACTTACCTCGCTGTCCTCGAACATGGGACTGTCGCTGGAGTCGAGATTATTATCCAATTTGGAATCGGCATTTATGCCATTGCGCGTCCATAGCTTCTTCCAATCGTTATCTGTGAGTATTGACTTTTGGTCTGCAATCAAAGTGTGAGAGGAGAAGAGAGTGGAGGATGAGACAGAGTGAGACAGAGTGTGAGAGAGAGAGAAAGTTAGACAAGAGCCTGACAAATAAGCCAAGTCCAAAGTGCAATCACAAATTGCGTTAAAGGACCGTATACTCGTCGCCTACACTTTTGCTTCCTCTGCTTCTTCTTCTACTTCTTTTTTGGCAATCAGCAAATGCGACCTATATATAAATCCAAAGTTTCATCGTTTATTTTTGTTGCTCACTGCAATTGCTAGTTAAAAGATATCCTGTAGCCTTGCTCTACCTGCCGAAACGAAATCCAGTGCAAACTGTTGAAATAATAAAGCTTTTGATTGACATACGAAAACTCAGCGTGTTATTTACGATTATTGCCTCTACATGGCATTTATTGATTCGTCCGCCCTGCCTCCCTGCCTTGCACAGTCAGCGCTACAGTTCATGTTGATAGAACACCCATACACACACACACACACACAGTTATATAAATTGTTTTCCCCATTGTCCTTGTCTAATTTGTGTTTATTTTTGGATCACGCAAACGTCCTTATATGTAATGTAATTACATCAACTTTGTAGCCATGTTGAAAAATTGATTATTAGCTGGAATCTCATTGAGTTAACAAACAGAAAATCCACTCGTACTTTTACAACAATTTCTTTTCTAATTAAAACCCAATTTTAATGCAATTGCAACTCAATTATTGTTGTGCGGCAGAAAGAAGGAACTAAGTTTTGATATAGTTTTAGAGTTCACTGATGACCCTTCGAGGAAATAGAGAAGGATACGCATGCCGTACTCAATAAATGTAAGTTAATAGAATATGATGAGAGTGAAAGAAGAAACTCTCAACTCAAGCAATATTATATAGTCGATATAAGTTTATTGTGGTTCTAATAGCAGGGCGTTGCAATGCGCTCTGAGTCCTTGCTTTGCATAGAAGTGGGGAAATGTGAGAATACAGGAAAAATACTAGAATTTCTGATGTGAGCTAGGAGAGTGGATAGCACTGCGAAAATCGCATAGAAAGGCTTTACAATAACAGAAACTTGGTTGATAAAGCCTTTACTCTACTTTCATTATAAGGAATGCTCAAATTGAACACAATTTTGGTAAATACTTTAGTTTTATTAAGGATTGCTGCAGTTTTGCAGAAAAAAACTATGATTAGTATATGCGTATATTCCTTGAAGATTTAGAAAAAGTATCTAGAAAGGAAATAGTGTGAGGCAATTAAAAGATACAACATTACCCTTATGGATGTACTTTACTCAAACGAGATTTTTCAACGTCTAAATTGAATTCATGAAAATCGCAGAGAGAGGCATATGAGATAGGCAAGACGACAGAGTCCATTTTCAATTATCTAATAATACATACGGCAATTTATGCCACAGTCTATAAATATATATCCCCAGCCCCACATACTCTTCCCTGCCTTGCAGAACTCTATGAAATTAGAGCTAATTTCAACTGTCATTCATAATATAAAACATCATGATTCAATGACCCGCAAGAATTTTCGGGCTCTTGAGTAGCTGATGAACTTTGGCAGACGCCGTGATGTTTCTTTTCGCGGGTCATTTTATGATATAGAAACAAAAGGAGAATCGATGAAAATGAAGGCAAATGCCGATTAATCCAATTAGTCTGGTCAAACAAAATGCATTTTAAATAGCGGGACAAAGTCTGGCCAATGGGTCTCTTGACCCACGTCAAAAGACGAGTCACACGCTCCATTCTCTGTTGTTTTTCTTTGTTTTTTGCTTTTGCTTTGGTTTTTATTGAACAAGCGCTAATATTGATAAGTAAATTACATCAAAAGCCATGTCACGGGGTCAATACTCTTCCAATATTTACCTGGGCCAAGCAAATATACTTTAATGTAGCCTAAGTGGCTTTCTGGCTAGATTCGGAGATAAGCATAAGCTGCCTGACCCTAATAAGGATATATATAATTTCGATACAGAAAGAGTTATTACAGATCGATAATGCTAATGGCGATTGGAGGAGCGGGCCGGAGTACTGTGTTTGGGCTGAGACCCATGCGTAAACGTTGCCATCGCTCTCAGTGCACTCAGTGCTGCCCGCTGGCTTATTAGTAAGCAATTTATTAAGTATACGCCTCGTGCTAATTTGAATCGAGCCGGAGTGCAACGCTCACTAACTAACTAACTAACTAACTACGATAATGCTCAACTTGATGTTTACTTTAATTAGGAAACTTTGATTGCCCGGGCAACCCAGCTGTGAGCGGCTGACCCATAGCCAAATTAAATTTCCGCCACGCTGAGTCTTAAGTTGCTCGTTTTTCCACTGCTGCTGCCTGGCTCTGGCTCTGGCTCTGGCTCATCGTCGTCTTCTTGCAAATGGATTGCGTGCTCAAGCAGCTGGAATATGACTGACTGACCAGCGGACTGGACTGAAGCGGAGGGGCGAGCAGAGAGTCGCCGGAACGCACATATAAAAACTCAAGAGCGCGGAACGTTGTAAAAGGAAAAGTGTATTAAATCAATCAATCAATCAGCGATGCAAAATGTGAAAAAAAGAAGAAGAAAAATACCGAAGCGCACAAACTTTTAAGCAGCCAGCACACACACACACACACACACACACACACACATGAACTCTTTCGGCCTTGGCCAAATCGAAACTGCAATTGGCTGAAATCGTCGAGCGCCAGCAACTCTTTAAGCTCCCTCTGCTCTTAGCGCTCAGCCCTCGATTCTCTCATATTTACCTACTGTCTGCCTTTTGCTGTTAGCCATAAAACACAGCGTGGCATAGCTCGCACTTTTATTGCCTCGTAAATTTTTATAGTTCATACTTTAGGCATGCGTATGCAGTCCACACACAGCGTCAGAGCTACACATAACCATATCCATATCCTCGACTCGTATCACTGTTCCTCTCTCTTTCCTACACGCTGTGCGTGTGTGTGCGTCTTATGCCCTGCACTTGTATTTGTTATTGAATTTGTATTCGTTCTCGTATTTGTTGAGTACATGCGCATTGTCCTTTTGTCAGTGTGTGTGTGTGTGTCGGTGTGTGTGCATGTAATTTATGCGCCTGTTTTGCCAATGACGTCAAGTCTTACTGTTTTTTTTTAGTTGCTGCTCTTCTTTATTTTAAATACTCAGCTAAGAAATGTTTCAAGAGAGTATATTAGTTACTTGGGCTGTATGCAGTGGAGAGAGTTGATGATAGAGAGAGGAAAGCGGAGACTAGGCAGCTAAGGCTAAGGAGTTGAGCTTAGGGACTGCAGACTAGATATAAATAGCAGGCGAGCAAGTATTCTGCAGTCGTGAGTAGCCGTTGGATCGATGGTCACGCTGCATTGACTGTAAATTTAAATATATACTATATACGCCTGTATTTATATATATATACACACATATATATATATATTTTATGGATATCTATATATACATTAAAAGTCTGCAGACAATAAAAGTGCGTCATTAATAACAACAACAAAAATATGCGTGGAGCAGGAGGTGGCCAGGGACAAAGCAGAGCCACTTTATGACGGTCAGGTCGATTTTGGTGGTCAGCAGCAAAAACGCTTATATATGACAGTTATAAGTGTGTGTGTGTGTGTGTGTGTGTGTACATATATATTAGCTGTAGAGCTGAAATAAGTATAAATTCTTTATCTTTGCATTTGTATGCATGACAGCACACACACACACACGCGCACACACGCATAGGGCGCCCACACATACGCACTGACAAGTCGAAATATATTGCGCATGTTAAGAGGAATGTAAATGCTTAGACACACAACACCCAAAAAAAATGAGAAGGAAAAAAAATATCCAAACGCACGCTCAAGCCCAAAAAGCGAGTCTAAGGTCAAGTGCCGCCGAGAGATATAGAGAGGGAGTAGAGGCGTATGTGTGTGTGTGGTGTGTGACTCGCTATAATAGTAAAAAAACACGCACTGCTAATAAAATGGCTAAAAGTCGCGCATTTGGCCGCCGCCGCTGGCCGCCTTTAGCTTTTTGGCTTGATACGTGCGCATGTCAGCTGGCAGCGGCTTAGCGGGCGAGAGTGTGAATTATATTATGCCTGAAAGTAGGCAACAGTAATAAAACTTTTTGCTCTAGCAATGAGCCACCGGCCGGATGTCCAGCAATAAGCAATAGCAGCAGCAGCAGCAGCAGCAACAACAGCAGCAACAGCAAACCAGCACGACTAGCTAGCTACCCTGTAGAGTGCAGAGAGCTGAAGCTGACTGTAAAGCGATAAATAATAAAGTCAGTCGAGTCTGCCTGCCTGCCTGCTCCTGCTCGCATGTTTATTATTAATAATAAATATTTCTTGTCAATCTTGCGGACGTTTAGCGGAGGCTCGATGGCCGTGGAGCACGATACGAAATGCTTTTCAGCTGTGTGTGTGTGTGTGTGTGTGCGCGCACTTGTCATGTTCCTGCCAAAATGATTATTTATATCTATAGCTGTCGCACTTAACTCAGAGAGTGAAAGGGAGAGAGAGAGAGGGCGCCACACAGTGCGTATGCGTAATATTTTAATGCTCTGCCAATATGTTGGGGTGCTGCTGTCTGCTAGCAGTTAAGCCCGAAAGCTGCTTAAGTCAACGTGGCCAAAGTGCTTAGCAGTTTTTAAGCTGCCTGACAGTCGACCTCACTCGAACTCCCAGCAACCTCAACGGCTGACTGAATGCCGCCTGCCACATGCTGCGTTGGCACCGCCTCCACTGCCGCCCCCACTGTCGCCGCACCACTGCCGCCTTTACCTTAACCTGAGCTCTCATTTTATCTAAACCCCGTAAGCCAAAGATCGCGCGTCTAGCGTTACAAATGCCTCGGGCTTAATATGAAAACCACTAAGAAAATTTAGCGAAAATAGCTGAAATTTTACAGCGCATTAGAGGAGCATGCAGAAGGCGAAACTCATTTGCACTTGAGAAACATGAGCGCCAGTGCGAATCGGGAGAGAAAAAGGGCAGAGGCGAAAGCCAGAAAAAGAAAACGAAAATATTGTAAATGTGTGTGTGTGTGTGTGTATGTTTGGAGTGTGAAGCATGAAACTGGCCCGGGACGACCTTGACGCAGTCAAATATGCCAGAGCTACAGATAGAGTGAAAGATAGACACAGAGAGAGAGGGAGAGGGAGAGGGAGCGGCACAGCTAGCTGTATATAGCTTCTTCACAGACAGGAGTTGACACGTGTGTCTCGGCTGTTGTTATTGCCCTGCCTGTCAGCCGAAAGTGCTAAGCTTAACGTTTTCTCTGCTTCCTCTTCTTTTTTTCTCTTACTCAACCTGGCAGACGGCATATATAATATGTAACATGTTATATATATAATATATGATACAGTATTTGTCAAAAGTATTTGCACAAAGAAGTTTATTTTTTTTAGAGCTGAAAGAGATTCGTTTGCGATGATCTTGTTGTTGTTTCTTTTTAATCTGGTGTATTATTTCCAGATAAAAAAGATTTGTTATAAGACGAATTATGTTAATGACACTTCATAGGGTTTAATAGAATTTTTTTTCTTTTTTTTTTTATCAAAGAAGTGTATACATTTTTATAGATTTTTTTTTTTCTGTTACAAAAAATATTGTATACAAATTAAATAAAAATTTCTAGCAGAGAGAATACATTGAGAGAATTACTAAGCAGAAAATTGCGACACATGTAGGCTGTCCATATACTTTTGACTGCAAGTGTAAATATTAAACATATATTGACAAACAGATACACATACATCTTATATAACATATATGTATATGCCTGCATACATACACAGATTATACAATACATATACATATATATACATATATATATACGTATTTATATATACGTATCGATATACTCTTGCCGGCAACTGTAAGGCTTCAATTTGTGTTTCGCTTAGCCGTTGTTGCTTTTCAAGTTGTTCGCTTTGCTTTGGCCTTTTTCCGTTTCGGCTTTCTGACAGTTGCGAGTTCTTTGACTGTTTGAATTATTTGCATATTTCACATTTCACAGTTACCAGTTTTTGGTTTTATTTTCCAATTTCATTTGCTGTTCTTTTTTTTTTTTTTGCGGTCACTTTAAAAAGTCAATTTAACAAAAGCAAAAACTTTACTTGTCTCTGCCTCTGTGTCTCTGTTTTTTTTTCCGGCATAGATTCTTAAGCCACAAGGCGTGGCAATAAATTTTCAATTTTTGCGCTGTCACGCGACACTGCCACGCCCCCAACGGCAGAGGCGGCGTAATGAGCGCCGAGCCGATAAGGTGTCGCCATTGCCCGCTGTGTGTGTGTGTGTGTGTGTGTGTGTGTGTGTGTCTGTTTTTTTAGCGACTCTTGATAATTTATGCGTAACGCGTTGGTCGCACAAACAAAATATAAAAAGAAGAAGAAAAAGCCGCTATAAAAAAAAAAAAACAACAGAAGAGCAGGCAGAAACAAAGGTCGCATTCGGGGAGCTTTTAGGTCAAAACCAAAGCCGCAAGGGCAGCAGCAGCAGGAGCAGCCAGCAGCAGCGGCGACAGCGACAGCGACAGCAGCGGCAGCAGCTAAAAAAAAAAAATGGCGATTCGCCCTTAACGCTAATCTCTCCCCTGTGTATTTTTCATTATCCTTATTATTTGTGAATGTTACGTGTTGGCCATAACTTAGCGTGGCTAACGATGCGTATACGTGATGCTACACACACACACACAAAGACAGTGGGCAGGGAGAGACATCCACACACTCTCGCCTAAGTAGCAGACGCCGAGGCATGGCATGCTTTTAGCTCAGCTCTCGCATCCATTTAAACCAAATTAGCCAAAAGGTCAGAAAAAGTGCCGCGAGCCAAGTCGGCCAAAGTCCGTCGAGCGCTGGCTGCGCGCGCTTGATGAAAAATTAATAATTGTTTGCCAAGCAATTGCCGCCGAGGCTGACTTTAAAATGTGTTTACCTGCTCACCTCACTCGCTCGCCTCGCCTCGCTGTCTCCCTCTACCTCTCCCTCTCCCTCTCTCTCTCGCGCCCTCTTGCAGTCTCTTTGTCTGTCGTTGAAAGTTTTTAGCTAAAAACTGTGCTACACTTGAGCTCTAGGCCACACGCCCGTTTCAAATTGAATGACAAACATTTAACCAGCGCAAGTACTTCTTCATTTCAATGCCCGCTCGTAGAGTGGAGGGGGGGAGGGAGAGACGAAGAGAGGGAGAGAGAGAGAGTGCAAAGATTCTTGCGTCTGTCTTTAACAAAGCACAGCATTTCGTTGATATCTGAGCTGAAGAGTTGAAACTGGGCATATTTACTAATAAGAGATTGGATTTTTGAAATCTTCCATTAACAATATAACAAATAAACTAAAATAACTAAAGAGAGTTTGTATTAAAAACATTTGTAGCTTGAATATTCGTCTACTAAACTTTCATTTATGGATAACTAGACTAATCTGTACTTAAGTTGGCAGAAAACTTAAGAGATATATCAACTTTTCGCAAAATAATTTTGAGTTAAAGATGTCTATTTGACATATTTGTTTGGGTAATTGATCAGCTCCATATTATCTATTCATATCTTCTCACTTGTACTTTCCAGCCTCTATCCCGTATCTTCCACATTCTATCTTTGATTTTCGTATATCCTTATATCCTCTACCTTTTCTCTTCTCTTATAGATTTTATTTTCATCTGTCTTATGTTCCTCTCTTTTATTTTTTCTACTGTCTGTATTTTATGCTCTTCTTCTAACCGTTACCTTCTAGACACTATTGTCTTTTATATTATATATGCCCTAAATAACTCTCCATTAAATACTTTTGCCACTCGACAGAGTATTAAGCAGTCGTTCATGCTTGCCTGCCATGATCTAGCTTATTTTAGCCGTCTCTCTTGCTCTCGCTCTCTTTCAAAGTCACTTTTGGGCCATTAATGAAAATATTTGGTCTAAAAAGTTTTAGCCGCAGGTGCCATGCTTAGCCCAGCTACCTGCTCCCGCTCCCACTCCTGCTCATGCTCCCACTCCTGCTACAGCTACTGCCCACTCGCTGGGCTTGGCCCACTCACTCAGAGCCTAATAAAATTTGCTCGCGTAATAAATCCGTAAATTGGCAAAGTTTCGTCTAGGCTTAGGCGCATAGCATTTAATTGCACGAGTAGGCGTGCCCAGTGCGCCCAGTTCGCCCAGCTCGCGCTTTATGTAAATACGCTAAATAAACTGAGGCGTTGCGCGTTAGAAAATTTCATTTAAATTCAATTGTTTCGAGGCCACTAAAACCTGAATTCGCTTTTAACTGTCGCGCTGTTCTAGTTGTTGTTGTTGTTGTTGCTGGCTAAAATAGCTGTTGCATTAATTAAATGGGCAGTCAGATTTTGGGCGTTGGGCGTTGGGCGTGGGGCGTGTCACTCACCTGTTTCCAGCGTTGTGGCCAGCAGCAAGGTGGGCAGGCACAGCAACAAAATGCGCAATTCCATTAAATGCAGCGGCACACGCAACAGCCGCAAGCGCAGCAGCCGTGGCGGCAACATTTGTGGCAGTTTCTCTCGCTCTATCCCTATTCCTGTCTCTCTCTCCTTTGTGTTGCGTGGCAGCTGCAACAGCTGCGCGAGCTTAGCTTAGTTGGCGTCTTTTCAATAGTTACGACGGGCTACACGGCACAATGGCACATCGATGCTGCTGCTGCTTCTTCTTCTTCTCCTTCTTCTTCTTCTAGTTGTTGTTGTTGTTGTTGTGGCACGCTTATTAGGGTTAATGGCTTTTTGAATGAACGCGCTGTTTCCTTTCAGCAAAAAAACGCCAGCACAAAAGGCGCCACAAAACTAATACACATATGCTAGTTGTGCAGTTGTTGTTGTTGTTGTTGCTGTACAACTGATGCGCTGATAAATGATGCTGCTGCTGCTGCTGCTGCTTCTGCTGCTCTCAGTTGTTGCTATTGCTATTGCAGTCCCTTCCTGCTGCTCTTGCTATTTCCTATCTGATTTTTCTAGCACTTTTTCGCTTTTGTTGTCGCCTGTCAATGCGTTGCTCTTGCTCTACTTCCTTCTGCCTGCTGTTGCCACTTCTTGTGCTCTCTTGTTGTTTGTATCAAATTTGCAGCTTGTTATTTGGCCTGCCCTGCGTATTCTTTCACTAGCTGTTTTGTGGCTCCTCCTACTTTGGGGGGCGTATAACTTGCATGTTCTCCGTCATTTTTCATGTCACTGCGCATTAGCACATTAAGCCAAGAGCCATGTATTTGCTATTGCTATTGTTGTAGCTGTTGTTGCTTGCTACTATTGTTGTGTACACACACACACATACACACACACACAGCGAGCGAGAGGGAGTAAAAAATTAACACTCGCTTTTTATGAAATTACATTCAATTTGCTGCTGTTGCTGCTGCTGCTCCTGCTCCAGCTCCTGCTCCAGCTCCTGCTGCTGCTCCTGCTAGTGTTTTTGCTCTTGCCCAACAGCAACAACAAACGACACAATCACAACGTCACGTCGATGATGAATCGCTTTTAATGTAATGTCCTTTACACACTTTATATATGTATGTGTATGTTTAGATATATATATATATATATATTTCCTTTTCTTTTTCGTTTTCAGTGTTCTGCTTTCCGTTTTCCTTCACTCTGGGGAATTGTCAGTTATTTTGCGCTGCTCTCTTAATAAGTTTGAACTGATCCATCTGGTCTCTGCAAAGAAAGTGGCAAAAGGAAAAGCACATATATCAGTTAAGTTTATATTGTTTAGTCTCGGGCTTCAATTTAAGATTTAAGATTGCAACTTCAAAGGACCCAATAATTGATATCAATGCTCAGTTTTGATTCCTAGAAATTCCTATTTGATTTTTCGCCAGCTCGATGGGCTTTTTCGCTGGCTTAATTGGGCAGTGGGCCTAGGGAGGGAATTTTCCCACCATTTATATTGATTTGAAATTCTTCATTAAAGCAGCCTACATAAAATATTTCTCTAGTTTCACTTTGTATATCTCAGGGATTGACTTGCATTTTGCTTTAGATATAATTTGATTTGTAGTGAGCGAATTCTGTTAAAGGAAATTACATATCTATATTAAATAATAATTGAAATTATATTTAGATTAAATCTTAAATGCAGTTTAGGCTTTAGTCCATTTTCTTTGGCATTGGAAACATTTATTTTTACTTTTCTTCAAATTATGAAAGTTTCAGCACTTAAGCAGTTTTGCCTCACTGATATTGTTATAGTTATTGTCGTCATTTGTTCTTAATGTTGATAAACTCGCTTAAATTGTATTTAATTTGCATTCAATGAAAGCTGTCAATCCAATTAGAGTTCGGCTTGCGACCATTTCTGATTGTCTTGAGCAGATTCTGTTTCGGATTGCAGTCCTTATAAGTATTTCGTATTTGGCATTGTAATTGGACCGCTGTGCCTTACAAAGCGCCCTAATTGTGTATATACTTATATATGTATAACTGTATGTATGGCATGGTATATAGAGGGCATTTTGTTCCTACATTAATTTGCATACTGAATGAAATTTATTTATTGTGCCTCGCAAATTTGCCACATTATTTATAGGTCAACAAGAGGCGACTCGCCGCAACTTGCTACGCGTAATGAATGGACAAGAGATAGCAGGAGTGGGACCAGGAGATAGACAGATAGAGAGAGAGAGAGAGAGAGAGAGACAGAGAGAGAGAGAGAGTAAGATGGAGATAGAAGGCAGGGGACAGTGCCTTCATATAGACTAAGCGTTGTAGATATGAAGCTGAGCTGAGCGCTGCGGCGTCGTTGTTGCCTTGCTCTAATGCTCGCCCAGTAAGTGGAAAAGAGAGTATATAGGCTTTGCTCTAATGCTCGTCTTGATGTTTGTTCATTTGATTAAATAAATGAGCTGAAGGCGCCGCTTGAATAGCATGAGGGTTCAATTATTTATATACCCTTGTCGGGTAGTTTGCCACAGGATGAGTAAGTTGTATCATAGTTGATATGCTCTAAAGTTAAATTGCATTACTAATTTAATTTTTAGTAATTTTTATTTATAATTATTTATTTTATTTATTATTTTATTTAATTTATTGTAATTCATATTTATAATTATTTGTATTATTTACTATTTTATTATTTATTTAATTAATAGTATAATTATAATTATTTACTTTATTTATTATTATTTATTATTTCATTATTTATTTATTTTATAGTAATTTATATATATAATAATATATTTTATAAATAAAAACAAATTATTTTAAGATATGATATAGTAAAAAATTAACCATAGAAGCCCTCGGCGTATTATATAATTGTTTATTTTTATTAATTAATAATAATTCAAGAAAATATGTAAAAATTAAAAAATATATTATCATTGTTAATATTAATTTTCTGTATTTATTTTGAAGTTAGAGTTGATATGAAATTTAGATGAGCCTCAGAGTCTTATTTTTTTAATTATTTTATTTTTTATTATTTATTTAGTTTTATATATATATATTTTTTTTTTATTTATTTAGTTTTATATTTATTTTATTTATTTATTCAGTTTTATATTTCTTTTATTTATTTATTTTTTAATATCTATTTATTTTATATAATTATTTATTTACTTAGCAGCTAGACCTAATAAAAGGTCATTCGAGCTGATTATTATTATTTTATTTCATATTTTTATTGAGCTCTTCGCTCTTAGAACAACTTGAGCGCGTATTATGCAACTGGCTAAGCTCGTCTCTTTTATTCCAAGTTATTTTTTATATTTTTTCTGTTTTTTATTTTATTTGTTTATTCGCACGCACGAGTGAGTTTAGAGTTTTCATTTTGGTTGATTTTTTATGCTAAAAACCATAAAAATATAAAGAAAGCTAAATTTTGTTCTCTTTGCCATTTGGTCAGCAAGTTGAGCGTAACTCATAATTTTTAGCTGCCTTTTTATTATGATATTTATATAAACTTTTTTTTGCTTGTTTTGATTTTGGTTTCTTTTTATGATTTTATTTTATTTTTTATTATAATTTTTATTATTGTTTTTTGTTTTTTATTATTTTTATTTAGTATCTAACAGCGATGCTAAAATAGAAATGATGTATGTTTAAATTTAAGAACTTATGCATGTATGTATATATGTATGTGTATAATATTGTACATGTGAATATTATATATAAATGAAAATTGAAAATTTTTGGTGGGAAAACTGCGTTGCTCGTTGCTCATTTTAATTACAAAACAATGTGGCAACTTGGCTAAGCAAATGTATGTGAATATATATATATATATATGTATATATGTGTGTATGTTATGTAAAAGTATGGTTAGTATATTTAATTAAGCAATGTCCATGGCAACTTATTTGCAAACAAACATTAGCAAAATGTCATGCGGCATGAATTTATGACACACTCGTGTGCAATTCATTTAAATTGATAAAAGCAGCTGATGTTGGCTGTTGGCTGTTGGCTGTTGGCTGTTGGCTGTTGTTGTACGACTGTGGATGGGTCGTCTTGGTGGGTGTTGCCTGTTTTGTTAGTTTTGTCGCAAATGCAGCGCAGTTTTAGAGTAATTCTCTGGCAAATGTTATGCAAGTGGAATGCTATTTTATGTGCCAATGTCTGTGTCGTTCGCGTCAGTGTGTGTGTGTGTGTGTGTGTGCAACACAACTATGCACTTAAATGCAGTCACGTATACAGCGCAAGAGAAAGTGTGTGTGTGCGAGTGAGAAAGCAAACGTACATATTATTATCTTGACACAATGGTGCCATAAAACTTAAAGACCCCCACAGCAGTTGCTGCTGCCAACCCCGCCTCGCAAGGGCAACTGCTAGCGAGCAAAGAATGCGAACGGGAGCTGGAACGTGGCACAGCGAAATGAAGGACATGCCATTTGCCGCCCAACAGCAACAGCAACAGCAACAGCAACAACAACAACAACAACAAACAGCCATGCCATGCCATGCCAGCAATGTCTCTGTTGCTGTTTTGCTGCTGCTTTCTTTTCATAACACTCGCATATGCACATTTATACATTTGTATTGTGGGGAGAGAGAGCGAGGGAGAGAGAGACTGGGTGAGGGAGAGAGTGTGCTGCGTCCAGCTGCAGGCGCCTCGGGGCGCGTTGGAGGTTATATGGAAATTGTAATAAGTTGAAAACCAAAAAGCTGATGTCATGAGGTTAGTTGCTCTGGCTCAAGTTTCAAGCGACAATCATGTGCTTTTCTTTTGTGCGCGGCTCAAGCTGTTGTTGTTGTTGTTGTTGTTGTGTGCTGACCTCATACTTCATTTTGTAGCTTTTGTTTGTTTGTAGCTGGCATGCGAATTCTGTTGTTGTTGTTGTTGCTATTGTTGTTGCATAATGCACTGAGCTTGTGCCCCGTTGTCGCTGTCGCTGTCGGAAATGTAACGGCATGCCACATGACACAAACACACAGCATGAGTGAGAGTGTGTGTGAGAGAGAGAGAGGGCAACACTCGCACACACTCACTAAGACAGTCATAAATATTTCATATGCAACTGCTGTGCCGTATTATTGTTGACAGTAATTGAGGAGAAAGAGAATGAGCAAGAGAGAGAGAGAGAGAGTGCGAAAGAGTGAGAGAGGAAGCACTGCAAGAGTGTGGAGCTTTGAGAGAATCGTAGTA